GGGGGTGCGGGCAGCAATTTGGGAACGACAGCTGAGGTTCAAAGGTTCCTTGCTGAGCTTCCAGTCCAGGCCACTTTAGGGTCTGAGTTGACCACTCCAGAGTGGCCCCTGGGCCAGCAGCCAATGGAACAGATTTTATAGCCGGGGGCAGATGTTGGTTTAACCATCTCACCCAGATTCCCCTTTATCTCTCCTCTACCAAAGAGGCTCCAATCCCCACTATACTTTTGTTCTCTTTCCTTTTTCCCCCTCCTGCCCCTCCTTTTCCTCCGTTTGATCCTTCTTGCCTTTCCCCCTCAAATTATTTCTTTAGATCTGGAAGCATCTGTTCCTGCCTGCCCCTCCTCCCAACACCCCCCTTCCCTCCTTTTACCCCTCCCTCCACCTCTAGCACTCAAAGAAGCCCCCAAATGAAAGACCTCTGTCCTCTAGCCTGTTCTGTTACCCCAGGGCCCAGGGACCTTTGAGGGCAAACCTTGAGACCCCCCTCCCCAACTCCCAGTCACTTTCATTTTATTCTCCCAGCTGGAAAGTGTCCTGGAATTGCACAATTTGAGTCTTGGCCCGGCCAGAGACCAGTCTCTTCTCTCTCAGGGACAGTTATCTATTAGATTCAGGTAAAAGCAAGGAATCTGAGCTCAGAGGGTTTGGTGCTAAATTATTTAGATGATTGCCCCAGTTCTCTGCTGGGCTCTTTTGGGCTCCAGATTTTGAATATATCTTCATATTCTGACCATAGAAGGGAGATGGCCTTTCCTAACCTCTTTACCTGGTCATTATCAACCTCTCCTACTCCTTCCTTTGGCTGCAAAGTCATTTTCTGAGTAATGAGAATATCCATCAGTTCCTCCCAGAATTCCGTAAAATAAACTGAGGAGACCAAGGCAGTGTTCACACTACTCACATTGAAGGGCCTCTTGTCTCTGTTTTCCGAAAAATAAAAAAATAATGACTCCCTCACATTCTTCTTCTTCCACTCATATCCAGGCATATGTTGTCTCCAAAGCTTGAAGGAGAGAGTTGCAAACCCAATCAGGGTAGACAGCAGCCTGTCTTTTACTCTCTTAGTCAATCTACTTGGATCCGAGTCGAGATAATTCAGGCCCAAGGCTCTTGAACTCTGCCTCGTAGACCTGTTTCTAGCAACAACCAACCTATATCCTAGAGCACCAGACTGGAATAAGCCCAAGGTCCTTGTCCTAGTGACCACAGTTGAAAACTACTAAAAAAGATCAAGTTCTCCTCTCTCCCTTCTGTCTAGCTCAGACCTGGGATTCTGCCCTCTCTTCTCTTCTTGAAGACTGGTGGTTGGCCAACAGCCCCAGATTCCTGCTCTGCCACTCAGTTCCATGGCAGTGAGAGGCAACTGAACTACCTCTCCCCTCCCCAACTGGTTGGATAGACCTAGACCAGCCACAATGTTTTCTGGGGGAACCTGACCTAAGAATGATGCAGGAGATGGGATTCTATATTTCTTTATAGCATCTTTGCTAATTAATCAGGATGGAAGAGAGAAGACTGGGGACGGAGTCCCTCCAGTCTATAATTTCACACAGTCCTTTCTCTCTACACATGTGTTTACCTAGAGGCACACTCTCAAAACACACATGACAAATATATGCAAGGACCTCAACACAGTCATTTTTTCTGTTCATATATGCATGGGTAGGTGACTTTGCTGAAGGTGATGCGTGTGTGTGTGAGGGCACATTCGTGTATTGAGGTGACAGAGAATAACATTCCAACTAGAGCAGCTGTGAAGTAGGTTCTTCGGCTTATCGCTGATGTCACTGGTGACAGAGGCTTTTGCTGTCCCCTCTTCCTCATACGCTGTTCTCAAAGGCCTGACCCTTTCCTGAAGATCACGTGGCCTCAGGACTCATCTCTGATCCTGCAACTTCGCTCCTTAGGCCTGGGGTGACTATAGAAGAAGCAGGTAGGAGTCAGAGGCTTCTGGAAGATCAGATTCCTTATTTATTATTCTTGTTTCTATGTCGAAGTTATATCAAAACCACAAACATTTATCTAACCCTCCAATCTACACTTTTCTTGTACATATGCAAGACCAGAAAACAACCACCACCACAACTGCAGAGTAACTATCTCCTAGGGTTGTTAACTACCTTACAGTGGTACTGAAGGGTTAAGTGGATTACTGTATGAAAAACACTCAGATGAATGCTTAGCATACAGAAAACTTTCAGTAAGTGCTATCTATTATTATTATTAACAATAATAGGCATTTTCTTAAGTGCTTAGTATGTACCATGCATATTTAGCACTGTGCTAAATTCGATATTTCATTGGAGCCTTATGATAACACTGTAAGGAAGTTATTATATCCCTATTTTACAAAAAGGGAAGCCAAGTGAGGCCTGGGAGGCTAATGATATGCTCCACTGGCAGAGCCAGGACTCCAATCAGACTTGCCTGACCCCGAATTGGGTGCTCTGAACCACTCCAAGTTTTTACTAATGATGGCCATGGACACTGGCTGTTAGGATAGGACTGAGATTGGCAGAGAGCACCATTGAGGATGTAGGGCAGCACTAGCCCAAGGGCAAGCAGCCTAGAGCAACTGAGTTTTGCTATGTGGTTTGGTCTTGCCTTGGCAGGTTCTCGTCCTCTAACACAGGCTCTAACCCAGTGGTTCTCAAACTTTCTGGTCTCAAGACCCTTTTACACTCTTAAAAATTATTAGAATCTCAAAGAGCTTTTTAAAATATGGGTTATATCATCAACATTTATCTTCTTAGAAATTAAAACTGAAATCTTTTAAAAATCTTTTAAAATAACAATAAATCTCTTACATATAAACATAACAAACTTCTTGTGAAAAATAACTATATTTTCCAAAACAATTTAGTGAGAAGAATGTCATTGTTTTACATTTAGGCAACTCTCCTTAATGTCTAGCTTAATAGAAGACAATTGAATTCTCATATCTGTTTCTGTATTCAATTTGTTGCGCTATATTACTTTGGTTGAAGTGTATAAAGTAGAAAGCCTTATGCAGATATATAGTTGGGAGAGAAGGGAACTCATAGAGCTCCCGAAAGGGCCTCCTCTGGGACCCCAGGGATCCTTGGATTACCCTTTAAGAATCACTAATTTAACCAACGGAAATTACCAGTGGAAGTCACTCCATAATAATAATAATTTTTTTACTCTTAAATTTATACAATTTTTATTTGTCAATCAAAAATCAATAAAACTAAGGGGGAAAAGTTTAAAATAAACAAACAAACAAAAAGTCACAGGCATTGCAAACTAACATAGAAGGAAGAATGTAACCAAATGTCTCTTTATTTAAGAAACCTCACCCCTCCTTACTCTCCTTCTTCTCCTTAGCTAACTACATTCCTCTGGACAGTGAACAAAGTGCAACTTCACTCCAGGTGTGGTTTTTATGGTCATGGAATTAGCTCCCTAGGTGGGGCTCACTCTGGATGCCTCAAGATTTGTATCCTTCAAAGACAAGCATTTTCTTTTCTTTTTTCTTTTTCTTTTATATTAGTTTCAGGTATACAGAACAATAGTTAGATATTTATATAGTTTATGAAGTGATCGCCTGGTTACTCCAGCACCCCATCTGGCTCTACACATAGCCATTACAATAACATTGACTATATTCTCTATGCTGTACGCAATGTCCCCATGACTGTTTTGTAATTACTAATTTATACTTCTTCTTCCCTTCACCTTTTTCACCCAGTCCTCCCAACTCCCCTCCCCTCATAATTATATTGGATACTTTTTTAGCTATTTAGTAGTATTTCTAACTCCAAAACTCATCATCATTTCACTATTTCATACTGTATCAAATTGGTTATCTTAAGCAAGTTACTCAATTTTTCTACCCCATAGATTAGATATAGAGAGATAGATATACAAACATACATGTTCTATGCATATTATAGGTGTGTATTCATTATTTTTGTATGAATATGTAGAGTAAAATATAGGTTTATAGATAAAATAGCTTTTATGTGTTTAGCATTATTTGATGTGAACAGCTTAGCTATTAATATCAATCTTGTTTTTCAGAAGGGGAAACTGAACAAAAGAAGGGTGATGTGACTTGCTGAAGATGACATGCTCAGCAAGTGGTGGACAGTAGACTAGAACTCCTGTCCTCTGACTCCTAGACCTGAGCTCACCCCTCAGAATCCCTCTCTCTAAAGCCATGGCTGCATAACATGTATATGGAAGGTGGATGTGTGCAATGCACAACTATTTATGAAAGTATATAGATGGATTTTTTATATGAACATAGCTATGTATGAGAGGAAAAAATGTCTTGTATCTCTGTGTGCAAAATTATTTTTGTTGAGAGATACAAGGCACCAGCCTGCCAATGTTTTTCCTTCCTTACCAAACTATCCAATTATCTATGGTCCTGGGCTTGATCTGTCCTTTGTCAGGGACATCTCTTCCTTCCAGGTTTCCTGTTGGTTCATTCTCACCAAGAGTATGTAGATAGCCCAGCTCTTCGCATGAGCACGCAGAAGAGACACACGAGGAAGTATAAATCTGATCCCCTTCTTTTTTTTCCCCCATACATTATGTCTAACGTACCTTTCAAAATAAGTGATCTACAAATGTACAACCAAGGAAAGCATAGCTGTATGAACTGAAGTGCGTATGTGTCTATAAATGCAAATGTGGAATACTTGAGTGTCCATATACTTGTCTAGGTATGCCCCATGCAAATGTATGAGCAACTGGAGTTTCAGTTCTTTCATTAATAGGTATTTACTCACAAATTCTTCATTTTATGGCTGTATGAAGCTCATGTTTATGCACGATCCAGTGAGAAGAACCCTCGGTAAGAAGTCAGGCTGCCTGAATTCTAGTCAGAGATTTCTGCTCCCAGTTGCCTTAAACAAATCATGCCCAGTGCGAGCCTCCACTTCCTCATCCATATAATGGGGGGAAATCATTATAGTCTCTGCTACATCTCCAGATGGGGAATGTAGTGAGGAAATAGTAGGAGATGATTGAGCGAACAAGATTCTTTTTATTTTTATTTTTTGAACGCAATTCTTTTCTACTAGAGGAAAGTCAAACAAAATCATGAAGAGAACAACGTAATCAAACGCTCATGTACCCATCACCTCACTTTAACAATGATCGATTCACAGCCAATCTAGTTTCATCTAAATTGAACCCAACCCCTACCTCATATATTCTGAAGCAAATCCGAGACATCATAGAATTTCTTCTGTGAACAGTTGAATGAATATCTATAAGATAAAGACATTTTTTACAGCATAACCACAATATGATTATCATACCTGCCTAAAAAATTTTAGCAATTTTTTTTAGCTTTTAAAATGTGAAAAAGATCTAAAAAATGCAAAGTAGCTGTCTCCCTTGTGCCTCAGGCTCAGAGTTGATGAATGTCAATAAGGGAAAATGAAGAGAGTGGGGAGAAAAAGATGAAGTTTCCTTTTTTATTTCCATCTTAAAATCCCAGTTCACTTCGAGAGACTCATCTCTACTCATTGGGTCCATTAAAAATGGCCTGAGAGAGGACCCTGGAGGTCAACATGTTGTGGAGATAGACAGAAGGGGTCCTTGGAAGACACTGCAGATCTCATCTTGGGCAAAAATGGTTGTTGAGCCAGAGGGGATCTGAGCAGAGGGCCAGCCCAACTATTCTCTAGCATCAGATTTCATCCTTGGCTTGCCAGGCATTTGCAAGATGTCTGAAGTCTCACTTTGGAGTTACTGATCTCTAAAGACAAGCAGATACATGTAATTGCATCCTTTTACAGAAACCCAAAAGGAGAAATGCACAGAGGCACAGGCAAATCTAACTGGTCATATACAGGCCATGTACAAACACATGCAAACAGTCAGAGACAGATGCAAATGTACAAGTACATATCAGCAGACTCAGGCATGTCGGAAAACAGGAACACAAACCCAAACATTCAGACATATGTGAATATGTGGGGATACAAACATGCAAGTCCTGGAACAAAAGTATAAAAAGCTAAATACAAAAGCCCAAACATATGCAAATATACATTGGGTCATTTTTATTCATGACCAGTTAACATGGCCAAGCCCCATTCTAGTTGGCTCCTTCTCTCTCATTCCATCAAATGGGGCAATTATCGGCCAAAGCTTCAATCTGAGTCCCATTTATAAAAATGCACACCTGAGATAAGTCATCCCAAGGTCTTCCCACTGCCCCTGCCAGCATAAGTTTTTTTATCACCAAGTCCTTTCTCTCCCCAAAAGAGACAACTAAGAGTAGTGTGGTGTGGTATGTACGTGTGCGTGTGTCCATATGAACACACATTTTTTTGTCCTAACAAGTCAGCTCAATAAGGAGGAGGAAGGACACTGGCCATTTACAAAGTTAAGTCACCTCAGGCTGACAAGGGAACATTGTTTTGCCTACACTGTGCAATAGCTGGTGGTTAGACTGATTTCCCACTGAATTGATTGACCCGAGTGGATATTTTGGCATCTTATAGACATGACCTGAGAGTGCTTTCTCTGGGCCTGAGTGAGGCTGTGTCAATTGTCTGGGTTGATTCTTTTGAGGGAACTTACCAATCAATTCAAAGAATAACGGTGATGGAATTGACTAGGACTTGCATGGCCACAGAGTGATTCCGAGTCAAAAAAGATGGACAGAATCTGACAGTTTAAAAACAAGATCTATCAATTATATAGAGATAAACCAGTGAGGATATTTGGCACTATGTTCACCAAAACCAGTCAGCTGACTAAAATGTTCAATTTCAACCAATTTTTTTTGTGAGATGCAGCAAAGAGAGAGCATCTGAGTCAGGGCACCTAAATGTGTTTGCATTGCAAGCTGGATCTACACTGGCATTTAGAGTAGTGAAAGGTTCGTGTGACTGTAAGCTTAGAAGGATAGTGTGATAATGAAAGGCTATGTAGGTGGTTGCATGAGTACATGTGTCTAGAACTGTGTCCTCTTACAACTAACATCATTGGCAAGAAAGTAAAAGTTGTGTAATGTAACTGGGGCTTTCTTTTTATAAAGACTCACAGAATGTTAGTTATTGAAGGAAATTTAGAGCTCATGTGGAAACTGAAGCTCAGAGAGTTTTAATGACTTGTCCAAGGTCACGCAGCAAGTGAATGGCTAAGACATATTTAGATACTGTTTTAGTTTGCTATGGCTGCCATAACAAAGTACCATAGACTAGGTACTTTACATTTATTTTTCACAGTTCTGGAGGCTAGAAATCCCAGATTATGGTGTTAACAGGATTGACTTCTGAGGCCTCTTTTCTTGGCTTGTTGATGGTCTTCTTCAAATAGTCTTTCCGCCGTATCTGTCTGTGTTCTAGTCTCCTCTTCTATAAGGACACCAATAATATAGGATTAAGGTTTACTCATATAACCTCATTTTACCATAATTACCCCTTTAAAGGCCTTGTTTCTAAATACAGTCAAATTCTGAAGTACTGGGGGTTAAGGCTTCAACATATGAATTTTGGGGGACCATACTTCAGCCTATTACAAACAACAAGGCTCTGAACCCCAAATCCATTACTCTTGTGCCCACATCAAACTGTTAAGTGATCTGGTGGATTTTTTTTCCCGAATTGGTTCCATTTTTTTTTCCCCTTAGGGATGGGGAAGTTGTTGTTTAGGACCAACATAAGATTTAAAAATGTTTTCAGAGCCAAGGCCCAATAAGAAACTGAGTGAGCACTGCTTGAGGAATCTAGAATTAGACCACCAAACACTGGGAAAAGAAAATTTCTAACCAGAACCTTTGGACTAGAAGGAACCCTTGAGGTTAACTTGACCATTACAGGGACGTGAGAATTTACCTGGTGTAGTTGGAGAATACAGGTGTCCAACAACTCTCATGGCTGTGAGTTCTTTCTTACGTATAATCAGCATTCCTCATGCTAAGCTCAATCTTCTTCCCTTGCATTCAGTCCTCAAAATTGGACAATAAGGGAATTTTTTTCTTTTGAAGACTGAGGAAGGTTTGCCGACATATTAAGGAAAACTTTCTATTCAAGACAGCCTCTTTCTCTCCTCATCTGAGGCTGAGGGTAGGAAGTCAGAGGCAAAAAAAAAATGGCGCGCTTACCCCTTTGCTCTCTGCCCTGAGACCTTCAGCCCCTGTCTAGGCCCTGGCCAGCTCTGGGGAGTGGATTGAGGTGAGTTGACATGTTGTGTGGTGCAGAAACAGGGGAAGAGAGGCCCTCTAACTTCACGGAAATCACAGGTGGGCTGCAGTGGGATTATAGTATGGATGTGATGAAGCATATACCAAAAAGAGGCCACATCCAGGCAGAGGGGCCCACATTATCATGGTGGTTAGTGCTTGTGTTCTCTACCATGGTAAGCAAGCTTCGATCCTAGAGTTGGGAGGAAGCAATTCCAAAAGCATCCAGCTGAAATGCAAAGAGAGCTAGATGCAGTGTAGTGGTAGGAAAAATACTGGCTTAGGGATCAGAACACCTGGGTTCTGGTCTCTGTCTGAGCCTCTGTTTCCCTTCCTTCACAATGAAGTGGTTCAATTTAGATTATCACTAAGATCCTTCCAGCTCTGAGACTCTAAGCAAAAACTAGAGGATGCTGGGGGCAGGGAAGGAATATTCTTTGTAGCAAATCAAATGATGGACTATGTGTCTTCGTGAACCAAACCAGGCACAGAAAACTCTCCATCTTCATTCCAGAGTTGGTGGGGGGTGGGGGCGTGGGGGTGTTAGCTGTGGTGTCTCCTCATTTGACATCTCAACCTTTTTCACAGGGCTTCTGCACACATACCATGGGGAGCTGTTTCCCTTAAGGACCCTGCCCCTGAGGCGAAAGAGGCAAAGACAAGATAGGGCAGGACGACAGGGAGGGTGTCTGCATGATGCTAGCCACCAGGTAAAAACAGAGAAATCAGCCCACTATCTGCTTAGTTTCAAATATCAGAATAAAGGCATCCAATTTTATAGCTTTCATCTGAAGTTAATGGATAATGAGATGCAGGATCAGCCTTATGCTGTGATACAGTTTAAAGCCCCTGGGGAGGCTCTGTTTCCCCCTCCCCAATTATCCTGCTACCAAAGTGCTTTAAGACTAAGTTCCACCATTAGAACACATGGTGTTAAGTGCAGTCCTCCCAAATCACATCCCTTAAAATACAAAAGCACCATAGTGATACTTTATCAAACAAGGATATAACCAGAAAAGTAGTGCTTAGTGGGGAAGCTCAGGGAGATGAGGGGCTCTGAAAATTTATCTCAAGATACTTCTCAGTTCACGTTGGCTGGACCTTGTGAGAAAGCTAGACTCTGCCTGGGGAAGTGGGAACTCAGGGACTCTCCTATAAACCAGATGCCTGAACTATGGGTATATTTCTACTCTTGGGAAAGGGGTGAGTAGTCATCATGCTGAAAAATCACAGAGGCTGCCAGTAAAACTGACTTAAGGGAGATGAAAATTCTGATAGCGCACATGCACTTGGATGAGCCACCATAGAAGCCAGTGTAGTAGTGCCTTGCGGATCGCCACTCTGTATGTCCAGAGGATGTAAAACTATTTCAGGGATTTTTTTTTTCATTTTCATTATTATCTGCTGTTTATCTAACCCAGGTGGCATGAGTTAGTGGTGTTAAAACCCAGCAGATGAGAACACATACAACTAGAGTTCAAACCTGGCTATGCGACCTTGGGCAGGTGCCTTAACCTTTCTGAGATTACATTTCCTCATCAAATTGAGCACAAAGCACCTGCCATATAGTACTTCTCTATAAATGGAAGCTATTATAGTTATGAATATTGAGGGGACTTCAGGACACTACCTATGAATTGGAACTAAGTCATGAAATGAATGACCGCTATATTCTCAACAAATCAGGAGCCCAGACCCTGATAATTCGTGCATAATCTTCTTACTTGGATGGAATCCAGTCTTCTTCCAACTTAATTTTACCTTTTAAGATCTGGTGATAAAAGAAACAGAAAGGGTTTTGGACCCCTCCAAGCAGCCTGAAACACTTAGATTTGTGGCAAGGGTGGCCTTACCAACAAACAGGATGGGTGGCTGCCTCCATGATATGGTTTAAGAAAAATCATAAACCACCCTCACACAAATTTATATTATATCACCTGCCGTGAGTCTGAAATTCCATTCCTTCCATCTGGGCAATAGTTTCTGAAAACCCCTACCAAAAAGCACAGTTTCCTGGGAGAAAGTACATTTCAACACATTGGTGAAGTTTTCCTAATCTGGCAATCTGGCCTAGAGATGGGGCTGGGACTCAGGATAAGTAAATTTTGATAGGTTTAGGGATGTAAAAGTGCCAGAGGCACACAGTGGAAAGTATGGGTAGCAGAAAGACATGAGGACTATGGAAAGAGGAAAAGACACCAAATTGACTATGGGACCCACTGAGAATGCCAACTATGCTACCTATGGTTTAGAGAGCTAAGAAGTACATTCAATTCTGACTTTTCCAGTTCATCTTGATATTGACTCTCCCTTGCTCTTGTACCCTCCATTTTGGAGTTGCTTCTTCCCAGAAGCAATTGTGTATTTGGACAGAGAAGTGGAGTGCTGGCTTCAGTGTCTAGGTAGCAATACCCAGTATCTCAATAACAGGCCCAGTAGCTTTGTCTGTGACCAAGATTATTATGACATCAGCTACAGCTCTCCCCCCTGGGTTGGGGCCAAAGAAACGAATGACTAAAAGTATGCTCTGCAGAGCACTGTAACTCCAGGGAGACTTTTAGGTGGTCCACCCAGAATCTGTCACTAAAAAACATATCTCTGGTTTGTGTTTTAACTATAATCTCTGAGAAGATACTAATTTATATTTAAAAGTACAAAGAAATTAGTGTTTTTAAAATGTAACCATTGTCATGGCCATGCACTCGAAAAAATATGTATGAATATGTGTATGTAAATTTATATATATACATACATGTACACAAATATACACACATGTGTCTTCCTTCCTTCCTTCCTTCCTTCCTTCTCTTCTTTTCTTTCCATTGTCAAAAGAGGCCAATGAGGCACATGGGGCCTGGCATCTCTGAGGTTTGATGTGGATGTTATATTTGCAAGACTGGCCACACTCCTACACTTAACTCATGTTTTGACATCATGGCAGCACACGTCCTCTCTAACCTGGTCTGCCTCTAAACCCTGTTCAGGTGTTTCTGTCCCCCCAAAGAACAATTAGAGAAGTAAAAATGCGGTTCCTCCCACATTATCCTAAATATTGCTGTGATATCAGGGAAACGGCTTGTCCAAGCTCTCAGCCACCAGGAGACTGACACAGAAGGGGCCTCAGCTACTCCCCTCCCCAGATTTCCCTCCTCCGAATTATGGAGAAATTTCCCTACTAGGGATGGAAAAAAACTAGAAATGGGAGAAGAGAATTGGGAATGGGGAGACTGCCTTCAGCAAGTATAAAACAGAGAGGAGTTCTGTAACCGCTCCATCTCTGAGAGGGTGACTTTGTGGATGGGAGGAGGAGAAGGAACTGAAGGGTGGTAATTAGCTTATTATTGTCTCCCCTGGGTGTTGTGAGAATTCCTTAGGAGACACTTGTAAAAAAGGAGAGGGAAGATAGTAAATACACATCTAATGATATGCTAAATAAATTATTATTGTTATTATTATGACTATTGTTATAGCAATTGCAACTTGCTCCTTGCATCCAAGTTTCCATTAGAGATGGGAATTGGTCCCCTTACAGCCCGGCCCTCACTGCTGCCGATGTACCTCCAGACACCCCCTACCCCACCCTCAGGAATTAGTGGAGTAATTGGGCAGTGTAGACCCGGCTTCAGTTAACAGCCACTCTCCTGATTTCTGCAGAAGAGGAGCAGTTAAGGAGCTCGCATAAGCATGCAAGGCCTCAGCCTGGTGCTTGCTCTAGTAAAGCAAAGACGGAAAAAGGGCTTCGCTGAGAATGGCAAGGTTTACTTCTCAGGCGAAACTTCCTGAGTCCCAAGCAAGGGAACTCAGAGAAGGCCAAAGCTAAGTCAGACAACTGGGGAAGGGTCACAGAAAGGAAGGGAAAATATGCAAATCAGAGATGCTCATCCCGGAGATCTCAAGCTTCCCGGGGAATCTCAGTAACTATGAACAACACTGTGTATGTGCATTTTGCTGGGGAGAGAGCAATTGTTTTTATCAGCTTCTCAAAGGGATCTGGAATGCAGAAACAGTTAAGAGCCATTCCAGCCCAGGTAAAGGGACCCAAACTCTCTAAGCTCAACAATCTATGGTTAGTGTCTCTTCATTCCTGCCTTTGGCCAAGGCAATCATTACCTGAAGCCCGCAGTTTCTAAGCTTTACAGCAATACCCCTCTCCTCCTGGCCAGAGCACAGACACCTGCCTGAGTCCCACTTAGGCAAACATATGTAAATGTAGACTCCTCAGTTCCCCTTCCCTGCATTTCTTTAGGGAAAGCATCTACCACTCTGTGGGTGTTAGGTGTTGGAGGGAGGAGAGGAGGAAACTCATAGGCTGGGGGACGAGAAAAGAGATTCAGGTTTAACTTAGCCCCCTCTCTGGACCTCAGTCCCTCACCCAGACACAGGGCAGGTTGCCTCTAAGGATACTTAGGGGAAAAAGGAACCAATTTGGGAGGGTCCACCTCCCTCATAACCTGGGAGAAGGGAAGACTAACCCTTCCCTACAGACTGGGATCCTCACTAGATGAGGAAACTGACCCTGTCTATTTCACCCCCACTCACTGACGAAGACTGCCTGTCCCCAAACTCCCGAGAAGGAAACTATTCTACAAGGACCAAAGTGCCAGGAGCGGGGCAAGGAATGATGACAATAAAAAATAACTATGCAGAGCAACCTGATTAAAGGGTATTAGTGAACTAGAAAATTTGTGCGCTTTGTAAAGTTTTTTAAAAAAAACTTTAAACATTAATTCTGCTCCTTCTGGTAGCATCCCTGGAGCAGAGCTGGGGCAGAGAGAGAGAGAGAGACTTTTCCTTCAGCCAAGCTGGCTGTCTCTGCTGATTTATTTTTATTTGCATATTTCTTAATGGACCAAGTGGTAGTTCCTTTTTGGACCCCTCAGACCTATAGGGGGCTCCTTCCCAGCCCAGGTCTTGGCTCTGGTTTAGTTTCATATACTTGGGAGTCTGGGGAGCCAGGAGACTAGGGGTGGGGGCAGAGCCTGCTTCGCCTCCTCCCCCATTTCCTGGCTCCTGCCACCTCCTCCCCTCTCCCATCGCCAGCTTGGTCTACTCTCCCCACCCTGGCACTAACAACTGGCCCTGCCTGTAGCCGCAGGCCATGTGATTCCTGGCCTAGCTCCAGCCAGGGACCTGGGTGCCTGCTAGCCTGCTGTGTCCGAGTGAGACTCCCTCCATGCTCCCTGTTCTTAAAAGTCAAGTTCTCATAAAAACCCAGGACAAAGCTGAAGCGAGCTGGAGGGGCCCCTATGTACCTAGAGGGGAGGGAAACGCAATTTGGGGAGCAAAAGAGGAATGAATGACCCAGCAGAGTAGGATCAGGCCCCTGATGCACAGGCCTTTGAGAAGGTAGGGTGAGGAAGGCCCCATAAGAATATGCCCAATACTGGAAAATTCACTCCTCAATCCACCAGGCTCCCAGTCCCAGCCACACAACTCACCAGGGGCAGAGGAGGCCCAGGTGAAAGCAAGCTTTACTTGGCCACATTACCTCGCTTTCCTGGTTGTATTATCAAAAAGCAGCAGTGGTGAAAGTGTACCCTGCTCCCTGCCCTTTTCCTCCTAAATCTTTCCCCTCCAAAGCTCACTCTTTGAGACCTCAAAATTAGGGTTCAAGAAAAATGTGCTAGGAATGTGAGAGAGGCTAGGTGGTTGCTGACCTTTAGTGCACTAAAAGCCCAAATGGAGGCCTGCTCCCTCCCTCAGGGAAGAGTATCTCTGGGTTGTTGGACTGTTCACTGCCTCGCCTTCCATAAGACCCACACCCATGCCTGTCTGTGCTGGCCCCTCACAAAACTGGTTTCCATCTCCGGGTGGGTGCTAGGTGTTTACCCCTTTCTTCCCTGATCTATCTGTTCTTGCGAGCCCCAATCACTCTCCATTCGCTTCCTCTCCTTGAGGCTCCCTATGCTCTGTTTACCCTTGTGTAACTTCATCCCTCCATAAGTAAGAACTCTGCTAGCTGGTTTCCTAGATGACCCAATACGGCTTTCCAGTTGGCCCTTGGAAATATTTCCAAGAACAAGTCTCTCTCGGCCTCTACATATAAATATGTCTGTACAGAGATAGACTAGCTTAAGCCTCAATTCACACACATCATGAGACAATTACACCCTTATATATATACAGATATCCCTATAGAGTTATATTCACAAGTGTCTATAACTCTAGAGAGAGATAACAGCATATATATATAGGACTATAATTACTTACGTCTATTTTTACAACTATGTAGTTATAAATAGATATGCCTATATATAGTGATAATAATATAGAAATATCTCCATAGCCATATATGGCTCTAAGCGAATGCTCTAACTACTCTATATCACAATCAATAAGTACATATCTCCTGATACATAATTCCAACGATATACATTTATCTATGTAGATGCTCAGAGATATAAATCTGTCAGGATATCAAATGTCCATAAAGCTGGATGGCTATAAGAGAGTCATATATTTTCGCATATATAAATCTGCTCCTGTAACTATTGTATATGCAGAAACACAATGGAAATAATTATATTTTCCTCAAGCATAAATCTGTAAATACGACCACAGCACATTTAGGTATGGTTAGAGATAGAGCAATATTTTCTAGACATCAGTCTGTCAATAGAGCCACCAGTGCTTCCAAACAGAGAGAGTTATAGTGGGAGTTATAAATAAACTCTCCAGATGTGAATCGGATCAGTAGAACTAGATGTAAACACGGCTCTAAGCCGGCCTTTCTTCTTCTTCTTTGTAGGATAATCCTGAAGTGAGCGCAGTCATATATGACAGAGAGCAGAGGTGTCTGGGCACTGATATTTTCCCCCAAGGAGGGCTGAAGGTGGCTGGACTTTGGGAAGCCAAGCAGGAGTTGGTGGAGGGCAGCCCCCAAACCCCTTCCGTGTCAGTCTCCTGGTGGCTGAGAGCTCGGACAAGTGGAGAGGCCTAGGGGAGAAAAATGAATCAGAGACCGGCTTGAGTCACTTTGCCCCCTCTTAGACCACAAACCCTCCAACCAGGGAAGCCCCAACTGGGCATCCCTACCGAGAGAGCAGGAGGGGTGCAGAGGTTGGGGAGAAGGGGGTTACAAGCCAGGCTGGGGAAGCTGAGACCGAGCAAGATCGTCAGCCGGTACCCGCCGGCTCGGCGCCTCATGGCCGGGGCAAGCTGCCTCGCCGGGCTGCTGCTTGGAACCTAGACCTGGGCCCTCTCCGCGCTCCCTGCGCTCAGCGTTGCAACTGGTTTTATTTTATTTTATTATTTTGTCCGATCGGTTACCGCAATGTCCTCCACCCCGTGTTGTTTTTCAAATGCAAGGACACCCAGGATCTTTTTCAAATCTTTGTGTATACTCTGTTCTTAAAGAAGTGACTCAGTGGAAAGTATTTCTCCGTCTCTTTTCAGACCAGATGGGTCACCGGCTGTTGAAAAAGCATCCAAACCTCTGAAACGGTTTGTGACTTAAATCTTTTAAAAGTTCTCATTCTCATTTGTTATGGTCATTTTTTTCCCTTTTCTTTCTCTTTTAAAAAGTTGGCTATTTTGTGTTTTTATATTTTCTCTTTGATTTTTTTTTTTTTTTTAGATACAATTGTTTTTAAAGGGGGAAATTTCGTTAGACCCGAAACTGTGGGGGTGGTTTCCTCCCCGGCCAGCTTCGTATTTTTATACCTCTGACTCTCTCCTCCCCCAAATAAATAAATTAATACAATTATCAGAAAACTGTACCTGGAGAGAATGAGGCGAACATGGAAGGATCCGAGAACGTGTCTTCTCTTCCCTTATGGAAATCTGCTCCACTTGAATCCGGTGAAGGAAAATGCAATGAGCCTCAATCCCTTTCTTCTTCTTCTTCTTCCTCTTCTTTCTCTCTCTCTCTCTCTCTCTCTCTCTCTCTCTCTCTCTCTCTCTCTCTCTCAAAAGACAGTAGGAAGGGAAATTTCCCTGGGCCTACCAGAGCCACGAGCCTTACTCTACCCTCTCTAGGGCCGGCCATAAATTCTGTCCCTGCCCGGCGGGTGGCTAGTCCTCCTGGGCACCTCGGCCGCCCTGCCGCGCTGAAAACCCAGCTGTGGTCATCACCTCTTCTTTCTCTGCTCCTCAGCTTGACATGCACGCTTGGCCTCCTCTTTAAAATAGGGGATCCAGAGAGTCCCCAAAGTCACTAACCACCCCCATATGTGGGGTCCCTCTCCTGAATCACGCAAAGCAAAAGCTCAAGAAAAAGCAGCAAGAAAGAGCGGCCTCCTGGCTCTCTCTGCTCCTCTAGCCAGAGGACCTTATCTGGGGAGGGGGTTCCCAAACCCAATCCCTGGCCAAACGTAGAGAAGCTAACTTCCTTCCTTTCCTGTCTTCCCCTCAGATGCTATGATCATGACTCCTTCCTCTGTCCCCTCCTCAAAATCTCTCCTCTTGCATTTTATTGTTATCCTGCTAGGGAGGGACTGTTAACTACCATTTTTATTGTTATTTATTATTTATTGTTATTATGATTGTTGTTAGAGATTTGTTCACTGGGTTCAGGGGACAGCAGCCAGGCCCAGATGGGGGCCTGATTGTCATACGAACGCGTGTGCACGTGCACACACACACACACACTCCTAGCATGGTGTATACGTACTCACAGGTAAATGCCCATAAGTGGCTCCGCACAGCAATTCACAGGAGGCAGACATCCTCCTACCCCAGCACACAAACGACACATTGCCTGAGCACCAGCATTCAAGTGCAAATGCCACCCCCAGACCCATGCCAAAACCCACATACACAGAGCTAGTAAGGAAAGGAAAATAAGTAAGAACCCACTTGCAGAGATCCCCTCTCTCCCACAAACTGGAGGGGTGAGTCAGACCTCTGTCTCTTTTCCCCAGTCTCTCTCTCTCTTTTTTTCTCCTTGTTTACAGCTTCAGAGAGCTCAAGGCCCATAAATCTTGAGGGGCCTACAGAGCACAGAGCACATTTGTATGCATCGTTAGGACTCGCTAATACCTAAGCCCATTAACGAGCGTGTATGCGCGTGGTTTCCGGTGTGTATTAACTTATAGTTAAATTCTGGAGAAAAGGGCATTGTGAATTAACATATACCAAATCCATCACCCGCTTCTGTCATATCAGATTAGTTGGCCATGGGTTTTGGGGGAGCAGGTTGACTGAGTCGGGGTGTACCCACCCTCCAAACTTTCTGGAGCAAGCCTGGGGGTCCAGGGGAAGACAGGACACTCTTACCCCAGACCCTGTCCTTCAGATCCCCCAGGCCAGCGGCTGCACACCAGCAGGGACGGTGGATGAATAGGGGACCCGGTCCAGGAGGCCGTCGCAGGTTGAGGGAGGCCCTGCCTGCGGTAGGCCCAGGTTGTGTTGGTGCCGCTGGCCGCTGGGCTGGCTGGTTTCTGCTTTCGGAGAAAAAAACGAGAGGGGAGGAAAGGCAAGTGGAGTTGCTGAACTTTAATAAAACCGAGAAGTCAGTGGGGGGAAGGAAAAAGCCGTCGGAGTAGGAGGCGGAGAAGCCAAGGAAAGAAGTGAGTCCGGGCTCCGGCGCTGGAAGCCTGGAGATATCAGCACCGGCTGAAAGCCGGGTCTTGTATGAAGGTGTTTCTTTCCCCCACCCGCTTCTCCGCCCCAGACACGCGGAAGCCAATTCCAACTCTCTTAGAAAAGAAAGGAGAAAGAAAGAAAAGAAAAGAAGGAAAAAGAAAATCCTTTCTAATTATATGGCATGTTTCAGCCAGGTATTCTGGTTCCAATGACTCAGATCCTATTGGAACCCCAAGGATCTGTATAATTGGGACTGTGCAGACAGAGATGAAGGATCCAGTTCTAGAGGGAGGAAGGAGAGGGGAAGGTCCATCTCTTGGGGTCCTGTAGAAAATGCCAAAGACAAAACAAGCTAAATTATTGTGTCCGTGCGGATCTAGTTGCCTATTTAAATACAGCAAGCAGAGAAGGAAAGGGAGGAGGGCAGATAACTGGCCAGGATGGAGCAGGGTGGAGGGAGCAAAAGTGCACCCCCTTTCCTTTGCAAGCGCAGCTAAGGGGCCTCCTCGCAGAGGG